GGTTACTACATGCTACCGAATAACACCTGTGCTGGTGCGTATATTTGGCCTCCTTCACTTTACCCCATCCCCAATACTCGCTCTTGGTCTCACCACCCCTCACCTCCTTTAGCAATGGGAGCACCCCTTACCCTCCCTCCTCCGCCCTCTCTCAAATGGTCCTGTGTTTGAACGCACAACCGCCGGTCCCCCCTCTCCATTCTGCCTCCCCCCTTCCCCACCCCCTCTCCCCATGATCCCTCTCTCTTCCTTCCATTCCTTCGCCAGCAACATGCATCGCCACGGGCTGTGACTTAGGTTCTAGCTGCGTTGGAGACGTTGCTCAAGACATGTATTGCGCTGGTACGTGACATTTCGAGACGTCTCAGGGCAGCTGGTTGGAATGGCTCTACTTCATCCTCTTTCTCGTGCATTTTCTTGCCCGCCTTCCTCTTTCCGTTCTGTTCCATGCTTGGCAAGTTGGCATCATTAATACTTGTAGAGCATTTGACCTTTTGGATTTTGAGAGTAAAAAAATCACACAAAATGCATTTCCCCCATGCCGTGCATTTCCTGATAGTACCGTAAGATAGAGCTTTGGGGTGGTCGAATACCTCCCTTCCTTCTCAAATGGTACTTACTTGCGTTTTTCCAACTGTTGTTTTTTGCATCCTCCCTGTCAGATAACTGCAATTTCAAGGGATGCCATGACTCGGCTGTGTGTATCAAGGACCCTGTATCTGGAACGGCATCCTGCCAGTGCAGCACCGGCTTTACCATGCAGTCTGATGGCACTTGCAGAGGTGTGTATTGGTGGTTTCCTTTGCTTTTCGTGACGCCTACTTGGTGCTTCCTCCCTCCTTCACCCTCGGTAAGAGACAGATCACACGTGTAGTTTTGTAGCTCCTCAAAGCTGTCGAGAGATTGCAACCAACCGCCTGATAGATGCATGCGCAATCAAGAATGGTGGCAAAGCTTGTGAGAAGTATGGCACTGCAGCAAGCAACCTGTGTATGCAATTCAGTACCTGGATACACTTGCAAACCTGCCTTTTGTGTCGGTCGGTACTTAGCATACCTTTTCATTGATGTTGCACTAAGTCTCTCTTGTAGCATAGCAAAGCAGTTTCGATGTTGATAAGCAGTCTCTTGTAGCATAGCATAGCAATAGGTAATCTCTTGATGTTGCACTGAGTCTCTCCCCGCTCATCCCCTTCCTCTCTACCTCTCATCCCCCATACTCGTCCTCATCCCCCAATTTGCACTCTCTTCTTCACCTCTCTCTACCTTTCTCCCTTTCTTATGTCCTCCATCCCTCTCTATCAGATGACTGCGAAACTAAGGACTGTGGTGAGCGAGGAGTGTGCGAGCATGACCCTGTCACTCTAGAAGCCATCTGCATTTGCTTTATGGACGGCACCGTCCAGCTGCCAAATGGGACTTGCATCGGTGCGTATGTGAACTCCCTCGCTCTCTCTTCCCCCCTCCCCTTCACTCCCCCTTCTCTTCCTATTCAAGAAGCATTCCTGATGTGCCCCATAGCTATAATTGATAGCTCTCCCCCTCTCTATCTCTCCCGTCCTCTCCCCACAAATCATCTGCCAGATAAGTGCTGGGAAAGGTGGTGCTGGCCCCCAGCCGTTTGTCGTGACGATATTACCTGCACATGTGGCGATCACATGATTGGCGAGCCTGGATCTTGTCTCGGTACGTTGTGTATGGGAGTACAGGAAATGGTTGAGCCGCCTTTGCACGGGGTTGACTTTTGAGTCGACTCAAAAGTCAACTCGTTGTGTATGGGAGTACAGGAAATGGTTGAGCCGCCTTTGCACGGGGTTGACTTTTGAGTCGACTCAAAAGTCAACTCGTTGTGTATGGGAGTACAGGAAATGGTTGAGCCGCCTTTGCACGGGAAGTCTTCCGACAATTGTATTGTTTTTCCCACTACTAGTTTTGAGGCGCCTCAAAACTAGACTTGTATTGTTTTTCCCACTACTCCTACAACTTGCAGTCGTCCATATTTCCGCCATCTCAACTCTAAGATAAACTTGTGTTAACTCCTAAGAATTCATTGCTCAGTCCAAACTGCATGCTGACATGTGCAATGTCAACAGCTGAACGCCACTAGAGAACACGTGCTCACCTCCCTCTCTCCTGCATACCCCCTCCCCTCTCGTGTCATCCATCCTCCAGCAACATGTGATCACCCTGACGTGAATTGCAGCCCAGAAGAAGACTGCATTCCTCCAAGCATGGAAAAACGGACCCATGCTAAATGCGTGTGCAAGGACGGGTACCTTCGCAGAGAGACACACGTTTGTGCCCGTACGTGTGCTTTTTTTCAATTATGCCAGTCTCCCTTCGTTCCTCTCAAGCGGTCATGTTTTAGAATAGGCAAACGGGTACAAGCGTTGGCAAGTAAGACTGATGTAGCTAGACAAAGCGAAGCAACTCATATGCCATAAACCACGCGGCCTCTTGCTTTTTTCCTTGCCTATGACAGCCCCCCCCCCCCCCCCCAAGACTACACAAGAGTACTTCCAACCAAGCAACACCCCCTACCCCTCCTTTCTGCCAATCTGTCGCTAGGATAGGAGGGGTAGGGGGTGTTGCTTGGTTGAAACTCTCCCTCCTCCCTGTCACCCTCCGCAACCTAGGTCTGCCGCAACGCAGCATATGCTGGGGCCCACGGGTCATGCCGAGAGTGTGGGGCCCACGGGTCATACCGAGAGTGTGGGGCCCATGGGTCATGCCGAGAGTGTGGGGCCCACGGGTCCTGCTGAGACTGCACTGTAATTGCTTTTGATAGGAGAGATTTGAGAAGGGAGGGAGTATCTCAGAACCCCCCCCCCACCCTTCTCTCTCTTTCTCTCTCACTCTCTCCCTCTCTCTCTCTCTACCTTTGCACAATCCCATCTCCCACATACCCCCTCTCACCAACCATCTGCCAGCCACATGCAAAATTCTGGCCGATCCGTGGAGTCCAAAGCCGTGTGGTGACTTGGAAGAATGCTTTGAAGACCTCCCAAACGGGATCGCTGGAAGCTGCGAGTGTGTGGCTGGATACTATCGCCGGAACGGGGAGTGTGTTGGTACGTACATATGTTCTTTTGACACGTCTCAAAAATACACTTTAATTACGTGACCTCCCAAACGGGATCGCTGGAAGATGCGAGTGTGTGGCTGGATACTATTGCCAGAACCGGGTGTGTGCTGGTACGTACGCATGTGTTACTGTCCTTTGTGCTGGTATGTCTGTATGTATGTGCTGGTGTTTTATGTGCTGGTGTTTCCGTATTTATGTGCTTGTATTTTCGTACGTATGTGCTGTCCTTTGTGCTGGTATTTTCGTACTTGTGCTGGTATTTTCGTACTTGTGTTGGTATTTTCGTACTTGTGCTGGTATTTTCGTACGTATGTGCTGTCCTTTGTGCTGGTATTTTCGTACTTGTGCTGGTATTTTCGTACCTATGTGCTGTCCTTTGTGCTACGATTTTCGTACGAATGTGCTGGTATCTGTACTCCGTTTTCACCATCTTCATCTCTCCCCCTCTCCTTCACCTCTTTCTCAAGGTTCATCCGAAGTCAAGCAGTGGTGTGAATGAGGTTTGTGTGGCTCACGGAAATAATTTGCTTGCTTGGATATGTTCGTGGCCTGTATATATATGGCGTGCGCTTGCACAATACCACAGCTCAGTTTGAGTCGTGTTCTGAGTCGACTCAAAACACCTACCACAGCTCAGTTTGAGCAATCAGGAAAAGTTTGATGTGTGTTTCAAGCCAATCCCATTTGAATAAGTACCATTCCCCCTGCTGGATTGCAGGTGATTTTCAGAGGACTCAGAAAACACCTGCTGGTTTGCCTCTGTTGATTTATGGAAGGGTGGTGGGTGTCCCATCCCGCATGCCTGACCTGCTTACACACTCCTGTCTTCTCTCCATCTGTGTCCAGACTTTCTTCGTGACGAATGCACCACTGACAACTGTGGTGATGGCAATTGCGTTGAGAAATATGACAACTGGTGGTGGTGGAACAACAATCCGCCCTTTCAATACTGCAAGTGCAACGATGGCTACACACCGGATCCAGTCTCAGGAAATTGCATAGGTACGTACGTACGTACAATGGATAAAAAAAAAACCCGTGGCAGTTCTTTCTCTATGTTTCCCTATGTACCCCGTTATCTCTGTTTTTATTTCTCTGGATCTGAGGCATTGCCCAACACGACACACGACACATTGCCCAACAAGCTTTGTTGGCCTTGTGGTGTGGTGTTCATCAAAGCTAACCTTTTGGTGTTTAACCATATGAACTCTTCAAACCTCCCATCTCCCCTTCCCTCTCCACCTCCCCTCCCTGCCAACCCGTGCTCCCCTCCCCTCTCTCCCTCTCATCATACTCAATCTCCACCCTCCATCTGCCAGTATCATGCCCGGCCATGCCCTGTCCATATGGATACCTTTGTGACACATCTGGACTTTATCCGGTCTGTAAGAAAGGTGCGCTTGCTCGGCAACTTACACACGTTCCATCCAATCATCGTCCATCCAATGATCATCCATTGGGGAGTAATGAGGATGGTTACTCTTGATCGCTGTGATAAAGGCGAGGTGAAGTTGCTTATCTAGCCACTGTTGGTCACATAGCAAATGGGGAGTAGTCACGTGGCAGATGTGGTTTTTCTAGACAATTGCTGGTGATTGAGAGAAGGTAGACAGATTGTCTGCTTTGGCAGCAAAGCAGATCGTCTTGCTTTCATTCTGTTGCTAATTTGCACCTGTACCTCTTTATCCCTCTTGGATTCTGTTGCAGTTAACTGCCCGGCTAACTGTCCTCGTGACTGTGTTTGGAACTCCCAGATGAGCATTCAAGCCTGCCCTAGTACGTGATGGTCCATATATCCAAGTCGTGATGCTCTCATTTACCGTTGCCAGAAGAAGGGTCCTGGTACTTGACCCGTTGCCTTCCCTTTATCATTCACTCGTGCACATTCCACTCCCTGACCCTTCTCCCCTCTCCTG